CTGTTAACTTCAACTTTCGCGATTCATTTCCAAGAGGCTCTCCATCAAGGTAGACTAGACGATGCTCTACACATTTTTAAACTCGCCGGTGGTCTTACGAAGAAAATCCTGGCATCGGGGCAAGTTCACCGCGAAGTGTCTACCGATCCTACACTTACCGGTACACAAACAGATTTTGAAACACGAAATTCAAGCGCTTCGGGGCCTGAATCTTCGCAGAGCTCTCCAACGAGAGACGAACAATTTACCAAGAAGAAGCCATCCAGCTTTAAATCACACAAGACACCAAACGACCCTTCACGATTTAGACATTCTATGGTCAGTGGTGCTGGCAAATACTCGCAACCGGTAATATTGAAAACAGATTTACGATCAACAAACTTTTGGAAACCCTCGGGATTGAAAGTAAGGAAACGCCAAAGATCTAACACTCTTGGATATAGAACTTCACGACCTCGTTCGAGCGGTGCCCACTTGGACTCGAGCGGTGCCCACTTGGACGCAAGCGGAAATATTTTACAAGAAAATGACAGGTCGATCATGAGAAACCATCAAACCCTACACGAAGGTGCGAATGTCAGACTGACCGTTGGGAAGGAATATACACTAGAAGTAAACGATTTGCAGTTACCCATGAAACTAAATTTAGATTCAAAGAGGCTCCATTTATCTCTTGGCCAAAAGCAAGAAGAATCATACCAACGTTACAGAGTAAACCGTCGTAGCAATGTGTACACGAAGCCAGTCACAGCAGAGAGTTCTCATTTTCGTGTACAATCAAAGCAGCCGCAGAACGAGTCAAATTTTTTGGACAATTATGCTGAACGTGTAAAATCTCAGTGGTGGTATTATCCTGAACATTTCAATAGGAGGAGACATTGGCCGAGGCAGTTTTAAATAACACGGGGTTTCCCATTTACTATGAATAAACTAATGAGTAGGGATGTACACGGTGACTGAAGTCACGTCATTCAACTTCAAGCAGAGATTAAATGATGTCTGACAAACATTTGCCTTTGAGGAACACTAAATTCGTTGATCACGACAGGACGAGGATGATGATCGAGATAGACAAACCAAATTATTATATGTTGTCTTAAGTCACACCAGGGTTAAGCACTGGTATTTCAAAAGGGAGAAAAACACTTCAAAGACTTTTATCTTGCTCTAAAATGTTTGCGCGACGGATGACCGAGTGATATAAAAATACATTGTGCAATAGTTGATATTCCATTTGTAACAAGAGTCTCAGAAATGTGAATAGTCAAAATCTGATCAAATAGTTCCGTCAGACAAAAAAAAAGAAAAGAACAATACAAGTTTTCAAATAACATAAAGCAAGACTAAAAAAGAGACTTCATGTATTTCAATTTATTAACTCTGTACTTTGTTAAATTAAACAAAAGAGCCTAAGAAAGAGAAGAAAACATTTCCTGGTGAATGCAAGTGGAATAAAAGTCCTTCAACTTCAAGAAACAACACATGACAGTAATTGTATAATCCAGTTGTTTCTTTTTGCTCTGACTCATTCAGTTACTAAAATGTTTTAATTAAGCATTTCTCCGTGAATAAATTTTATGTGTATTTCAAAAGTTTAAACAAAAGTTCTTTTTTTTAAAAAAAAACGTTAAATTTGGGTTATATGATCTTCTCAATATTAGGCTTCAAACTTTCACTCTCTCAATTAGGATGTAAAATGTATTTTTATTTAAATTATACGGAAAATCAAACCAATCAAATATTCCAAACTTGGAAGGAAAGACACAAACCAAGAAGATAATAAGTTGAAAGAAATCTGCTAAGTAATAGGAAATCCCCGAGGAATTAGTCTTGAAACCACCATGTCTAAAAGTGAACATAACTCATGATAAAAGTGCTAAGAAAGAATTCAAAACCTGTTGGCACAAGAGCTTATTTTTGTACCAGCAATATTTTGAAAGTAGTAAAAAATAAAATTTTTGTTTGTGAATTCACAAGCATTTTTTTTTTAAAAGGGAAAAACTTTAAGACTATTTCCTAAATAAACAATGCTAATATACTGCAAATGTCAGCAAATTACAAGTTCGTGTGAAATCTTTAGAATCAAACAACAACACTACCTGTGTTAAACAGTGTCACAGCATATAGCAAAGCTCACGTGGGAATTAAACCCTGACTTCATTTACCTTTAACACTTCAAGATAAGAATTAGTTGCCATAAAATATCTTAAAAGTTGTTCTTCATTAAGCAAAACTAGAAGAAAATGTTTAAAAACATGTGCCATCTCCCTAAACAGCATTTGAATTTGTATGAAATCTAACCCAGGACATGTTGACAGCTGGACATTTTAATACCATTATTTTGTGTGAGTGATAAACAGAATGTTTGGAAAGGCATTTTATTAATATCAACATTCTTTCAGCTTTACTTATCAAAATGTTTGTTTTTTTTTTAAATTGTACCTATACATATGAAATAGTACATGAATCTGGAATAAGTGTCTATATAGATCACTGAACATGACTTATTTACTTTTAATTTCCACCAAGAAATCTTTATCACCATATTTTCTAGCATAAACAGCCTTACAACTAAGATAATTTTATTTATTGTTTCTAATTAATAACTTAACAAGTAAATTAATTTACCATCATTATAAATCTAAGAAACATTAACAGTTTTTTTTTTATTTTAAAAAATTCTAGCCGTGGTTGCCTTCAACTTCAAGAATATGTACAAGACCACTGGGGGAAATTCAATATTGGCCCCATTATATTGATGATAAACATTGTATGAATACATTTCTTGCACTAATCCTACCCAATATACCAAATTAGAGTGAAACTAAATATGGATATCTCTTACCTGAAATTTATTTAGGTCTAGCTACAAATTAAGTGATTCTTCAATTCTTCTTGTCTATGCCTATTTTATTTATTTAATAAAAGAAAGAAGGGAAAAAAAAAAAATCACACAAAATGAAGTCTTCGAACTAAATACAAGAATATCTACACAATAAATGAAACCTTCAATATAGAATAAAGAGGGGGGAAAGAAAGAAACTGATATACCATGTTCATGCAAAGTCTAATATCTAAACGTATACAAATATTTTAACAACAGGCATAGCAACTGTACAAAATTATCAACACACACTCACCAAGTGATGTCATTACTTTCAGAATAATTTCTAAAAGATGAGGTAAAATATAATCAGGGCTCTAGTGGCTATCAAAATTTTTATGAAATTTGGATCAGGAAAGATTTGGTTGTTATTGCAAAAAGCAGTGGTACTATGCATCTCCCTTAAAAAGTGCAACTACACAGAATTAATTTATATTACACAGGTTAATCAAGTATAATTATATAAGATATTTTATTATAAACTCTGGTTGTTATACACTTGTCTAAATTGAATCCTTGGATAAGAAGAATTTCTTAATAATTTAGCATTATTATTTTATCAGAAAGACAAAATATAAACTAGCTCTTTATATTGAAGACCAATGGAATATGTTATTAGGTTATTACTTTAAAAAAAAAATGCAGGCTATAATTATTTTGTACTCTGTTTTAACAGTTAATATCAAAGTTTTTTTCCTTAGCAAATTCAACAGTTAAGTCCCCTATTTATAGTTAGGTCATTTTTTTCTTTCAGGTGACTGATAATTAGTGATATTGGTAACTGATGTTTTGGAGTTAGGTTGAAAAAATAGAGGAGAAAGAGATCCTAAAAAGTAAAGGGTAATGTTGGAACATCCAAAGATGTGAATGGCATCTGATCCGACCTACATGTTCCAACAATCGACCTAAAAATTGTAACCGTAATGCATCACATGGATTCATAAAAAAATTATTTAAACTTTGCTCAAACCAGTTTTACTTTAACAGCTTCAGATGATCCCTGAAACAAATCATCAGATCTGGTGATGATTTAGTGCACAATGCTAATAGAGAAGCTGACAAGAAATCAATGACAGATGTTCTTTAGTATTTTATGCAATCAATGACATAGAAGCAAGTTGCTTTTACTCACAGGCCATGAACAGTCGTTGTCCACAACAAAAATGATTAGAAAATGAGTATATTACACATGTGGGTTGGCTTTATATTTCGTCCCGACACAGAATCTTTCACAACTCGACTGCCAGGCATCATTCACACCTTCAACGGAAGGGAATGTTGCAACTAATAATTGTTTTTTTTAAAAGCTCCACACGACCTGTTTTTTTCTCTTTCTTTAAAAAAAGCAAGCAAACTAACAGCCTCCAAATTTTTGTCACCTATCATGAGAAACATTTGACACAGTTTTGATCAAGGAACCATCAAGTGAGTATACAAGTTTAAGAATTTCATGGTCGGTTTGAGCTTATTCATTTTCAGTAAACTGTACCGAATAACCCTATTCATGTATAATTTAGACATATTTCAGGTTCAGGCATTGAGCATAGTCTGGATTAACCACTTACATCTTAACTTCCAACCTTATGACATCCTTAGCAACACAGAAGACACATTCTTGAAGACAACAAAAAATATACAGGGTAATAAAGTTAAAAGGAAAATAGATTATCATAGGGAAAAAAAAGTTTAAATTATAGTAAATAAAAAAAATCTCGTGCAATGCATTCCGAATCTGGTCTCCTTTCATACTGTGAATGTTGATATTTACATAGGTTATACAACTTCTCACAGTCTCCTTATGAAATCTTGACAAAATCCTTGTAGACATTTTCTCTCATCATCATTTTCATGTTTATTTCCCATTGTAATTCCTCAACCAGCTAACCAATTTCACCTCCAAGATCTTAGTCAACCAGAAAAGTTTTTATAAAGAATAGAAACACTGGACAAACCTATAATTCCACTATATACATATAGAGATAAGTTTTTTTTTTTTTATTATTATATAAAATACTCAATATATAAAACATACAAAACAATAACAAAACAATCAAAAAAAAAAAGTTAAAAAAAAAAAAAAAAAAAAAAAAAAAAAAAAAAAAAAAAAAAAAAAAAAGTGCTTTATGATTTATGTTCTTACTGAAAGATGGAACTATTTTTCTCTGTAAAATCAAATTGTAACCCATCCCCTCTCATGGTTTTATTCATGGCTCTTGAAGCTGGCATACTGGTTAATTTTCAAATAATAAAGGGATTTAATGTTATTCCAGAAAGGTATTCATCTATCTTATATAACATCAGGATATATAATGCAAACAGACCTTTAAATAAGGTTGTAAATAAACCCTAAACAACATCAGGACAGCATATCACTTCCACTGCAAGCAAATAAAAAAATATATACCAAAAAAAATGTCATAGAAGAAACAGCTTCCTGTGAACAGAAAGCTGTCGCAGGCTGAATAATTAGAAGACCTCACCATCACAGATGTGATGAAAATATAACAAAAGTAACCTACCAATCTGAATTCAATAAAAAAATTTATAAAAACTATCACAAAATCAAACAGAAAATATCAGGCTAAAATAAATAACCCCCAAAACACCCCAAACACTCATGACTGCAAGCACTTGACTTTTGTATTTACTCTTGTCTAGAGCAATTTTCAAAACTAGTTTTAACAAGCTCAAAGTTTAGACTATGACCTCCTTACATACTTTACAGCTTATCTGAATGCATCCATTTACACTCCTTTACTGCTGTCAAATCTTTTTACATATTCTGCATTAGATAGAACTTATGCAGCGGCATCCATAATATAAAACTTGCAAGCATTCTTATCCACCTCCGTTGACACATGACTGAATTTTACTACCCAGTACTGTCTCAAGTCATTTACAAGACCCATAAAATGTTTCTTCCCATTATGAATAATATACATCCATGGAGCAATGTATGGAAAGGAAAAATCTGTACAGCACCGAGCGATTAAATATAAAGTCCTGGTCTCTACACTCATGAACCTACGTTCAATTAATTAACTTTAAAAAATGATCACCTTTCACAATTATCACTTCATCAATTTTGCTGCAAAGTGTTATGCCATTTAGTATGATGTATGTAGAGATGAAAATTCTAATTTCACTGAAACTTTATGCCAGTATGATCTAAATAAAAAAAGATGATATTTTAACATGTAATGTCCCATATACCGGTACTTCCAGCTCAGTAAAACGTACGCAATCCTTGTATTCTTTTAATGTGTCACCAAAACTTGGGTAACTTAAATTTAATACATGCACTAAAACGTACATTTTAAAGAGAAGCAATTAGCTTCATTAGTTGGTAAATATTACAGTCAAAATTTTCATAGCTCAGCACACTAAATCATTTAGCTCCCATGTGCCAACTCTATTCGCTCCTGAAAACAACCCATTTACATGGCATCTTGTTTAACTCCAGTGAATTAGGGTATGGGATTAATACATGTCTGAAATTTTAAGTTCCCTTGCAAACTGAACCAAATGAAATAATTAATATACAAACAGAAAAAGAATGCAAACATTAACACTAAATTTAACATGTTCTCACTGCTTATCGTTAGAGTGCGGGCAAAGTGAGCAAAATAGTAATTTTCATGTTCTAATTTAAGCAGTGATTTAACGCCGGAAACAATTTTTACATTCGCAGTACAAAATTTTAACAGTTTCATCTATTCAAATTTTTAATCACTGTCCCCTTTTGAGTCTGATAGACTGCAAAATCTATTCAAAATACACTGCTTAAAAGAGACAAATTTACAAATCTTGTCAAAATAATCCGAGTTCATAATATTAATTATTCCAAATATATAATTCATTCATATTTATTCTGTTCAATTTTCTCCATAAAGCATGCACGCCACAAAATCCTCAAATCAACCAAGCAAAGCACCCACCCACACTTGTTTATATCACTATCCACTTGTTAGTATGTCAATTCCACCCTGATCCAGCCTTCGCTGGCATTGATCCCCAGCTGGGCACTTGGCTGGTTGCCACAGTGTGTGGAGCAGGTGGCATCTCTGCAGTTTGGTTTCCCCAACCTAGAAAGCTGTTGTTTCCACCACCGGCTCCTGTCACGACAGCTCCATTAGAGGTGCCCATTGGTGCAGGTGCATAAGAGGTGCTGATACTATGAGGAGCAGCAGTGGTAGTGGCCACTACCAATTGGTCCCCGTTGGTGGTGGCACCTCCACTTTGGTGTGTGAGGCCTAATGGTCCCCACCCGGTCTGGCTGCTTAAAACAGCCTGGGCTGCTGCCAGCATAGCATGATTGAGCTGAGAAATAAGACCATACAATAGGCTTAACGAAAAATGGGACAACTTAATATATATTTTTTTTTTTTAAATGACAGGTTGAGCTTTTATTGCCATCAAAGTATTTGAAACTGAGGATAAAATGATGATTATAAAAGCTTTCAACCTCTGCTAGAAATTATATATTGAAATGTTAATTTGGCTAAAACCACCAGACTGGGAAGTGAGAGCTAACAGTAATTAAAAAGAATATGTAATCTCTAATATTAATCATCAATTTTTAAAAAAAATTTAAATAATTATTTCCTACGGCTATGCGACTTCAGTACTTCATCCATTTTTTCGGAACAAATTGATTTATATTTCAAATCTGCAAATTATTAGTTATTTAACAATCACCGGGAAATCTTAAAGGACATGTGCATTCATTGATATTTAAAAAAAAGAGACGTTTGTCAGAATGCGACAGGACACATTTATTTGCAACCATAGGAATGAGTTATAGGAATGACAATGAAAAATAAAGCAAAAAGTAATAATTTATGTGGCATTGAGTTGAGATAGCTGTGGTCTTACTATTAACAACAGCTGCTGAATAAAAATTCAGAGAGTAAAAGAAAACTACATTAGACATAATAATCACCTGCAATGCACCAAGTCCCAAATTTCCAATACTCAAGTTGTTGCCCATTCCCCCTCCAACACCCATATTGCTATTTGTATGGCTTGGATTTCCTCCTCGACCTGGTCCCCATGACCCCTGATAAGCCACATGCCCATGGTTAGGTACCATTCGTCTGTCATACCTATACAAGAAAAAAGGTTTAAAATTTTTAACCGATTAGCCTTTTGCATAACATTTTATAATTACATAGCATTTCTTATAAGTTTACAAATGTACAATAAATTCTAATGACTAACTTTTCACTAGCTTTTGGTGCAGCTCCACTTATATGCACACTTGCTCCCTTGATGATGTGATCCTCTCCACAAAGGCCTTGTGCTGTTTCAGGGTCAGCAAAACTGACAAATGCAAATGCTCTGAAGGGTTTAGGTATAAATACATCCACTACTTCTCCATATTTGCTAAAGTACTGTCGCAAGTCATCAGCTGTCATGTCTTCAGTGCAGCGTCCAACAAATACCTTGCGATTCATCATTTGCTGGGCACCTTCCTGTTAAGATATATGCATAGAAACAATAAACTACCATTATAACTGCAACAAGAATAAAACTGAAATATCGGTTTTAAAAGTGTAGATTCATTGAAGATGTAACGATAAAATATAACATATCCTCAATTAATTTCCACCACACATCTCCTTCTGTTAGTTGTTGGCATACTCACTTAAAGTATGTTCAAATTATGAACATTTTATTTAATCTTTACTAATTCCTTATTTGCTTTTACCTTCTTTCATCAAGATAAAAACTAAATTCTGGAAATAGTGTTCTTTAAACTGTCTTCAATATCAAGATAAATATGCAATACACAAGCAATTTTATGAATATAAAGATCCTGTTATTATTAATCCATAATTTTAAGTATTTTTTAGATACACTTCAGTAGTGCTAAATTTTAGCTATGAAGAGATTTAAAATGATTATGAAAACATACCTTGGAATTTGGTATACGCACATCACACCATCTGCCATCAATCATGTGTCTCTGAGACATACATTTCACTTGGGATTCATACTCAGCAAATCTTACAAAACCAAAACCTTTAGATTGACCACTTTTTGGATCTTTCTTGACCTAAATTATCAAAGGAGTGAAAATCTTATTTAAGCAGAAGAGGGGAAAAATATATTTACACAAAACTTTCTGAAAATTGTATCAACATAATTTGAATAAAAGCAAATTTACATTTCTAAATTGTTTCAAAATTTAAACAAATTACAAATTTTATTTGTTCTTCTAAACACTGCAAGCAAGACCATTGATAGGTAAAGCTGCGACTATCATAAAAAAAATTGGTGTTCACAATAGCTATGTTAAACAAAAAATTCTATGTTTGTGGTTTCTTTGTAATCATAAATAATAAAATATTTTAAATATTTGTTCAACTTTATTATAAATATAATTTAACAAATGATGTAAAAAGTTTCTTACCTGAACCATCAGCAGTTCTCCGAATTGTTGAAAGTATTTTCGAAGATCTTCTTCACTGCTTTTCCAAGGAAGACCAAGAACAATAAGGTCACTACACTTTTGCCTTTCAAAACGCTTATAAGATTTCACAGAATGGGTTGGTTCAGTAGGATGTATTGAGTTTTCTTTTGTCTTCTCCCCTAAAAATGAAAGTGTGCATTATGAAAAGACATCCACTTAAGTAGATATAAGGGATTATACAGATTGTATTACTGTTTAATTACAATAGTATAAGACAATTTCAATTATTCAATTATCTTTAAAATTATAACAAAAATTATAAGTTGATTTATGCATCTGTATCAGCATATAAAATATATAGAATGAGTTAACATTTTTTAAAATCTAACAGTAACTAGTAACATGATAATAATATACTACTACTTTTAATAATTTGAGTGTAAAGCTTTCAAAATATCCCATCTGGTTAACTAATTTAATCACTAAAATGTCACAATTTTAAAACATACATTATGATTATGAAAATATAAGTTAGATTTACACTGAACTTAATATTGGGAGCTATATGAAAAATAACTAACTAGCACTAGCCTATCTAAACTTCTGCCCTCTATTATATTTATATTTATATCATAATCATTTCATACTTTTCATTCATAGGGCTATCTTAAATCTAGTAGGCTCTAAAAAACTGCTAAAATTTAACACTATTTTGAGTATGCATGTAATTTGACAATATTTGTGAAATTTATCCAAAAAATTTGACACTGCTCAATAGCTACCATTATAATTACAGTAAAGGTACCTCCCATGGCCTGGGCGTGACCTACTTTGTATACATTATACATATAATCATGTATAGTATAGTGAAATGAATATGAATAGGTAAAATAGTATTAGAATTCACATCTTATCATTATTTCGTAGCATTATCTCGTACGAATTTGTAGCAATAGACACATGCACAAGAGAAAACCCCAAACAAGAGGGACATTTTCTTTAAAGTTATATTAACTTTTAAGTTTGACATTTTATTTCTAAAAATGTTATAAAAAGAATAAAAAGAGGGCTTGACCAGACAGAGGGCGCTTCTGTTGAGGGGAGGGAAATAGTCAAAACAGAAGAGAGAAAATTAAAAAAATAAGTTTGTTTAATGATTGTAAATCAAACGTACCTTTAGGAAACACCACAATGTACACCTGTCTTCCCCAGTCTGTATCAGGTGGATATAGACGTCCATCCGATAGCCGTATGCCTCGAAGCGTTCCCGTTTCATGGTTTCGATATTTCAATCCACAGGCCCCGGGGAACTGAGCCGACAACGTCGTCAAAAGAAGTGTCCCATCGTCCTCACTCGGTACCTCCATGGGCTCATTGCCCTCATTCTCGGCTACATTGATGTACTGGCTCATGGTTCCTTATTTGAAGGAACGCCAGTTCCTCAAGATAATTTCGTACTTGAGGAAATAAATAGCCCGCCTAGCTCCCCGGGTTTAGCGTAGGAAAATGGCTGCTAGTAGCGCTTAGCAAAGGCTCATGGGAAAACAAAGCAAAATTGAAACAGAAAATAATTATAAAAGCATGAAAAATTAATTTATCATACGTGTTTTCCTTTTAAATTTAATGACACAAATAAAAAAACTTAAAACAAAAATTATCTACTTTGTTTAAAAAGTATTAACGTTTGCGGAACTGTTCGAAGTTTATCGAGTGAAAATACTACGCATGCGTAGAAGGTGTCTAAGTATAATTTATTCCCGGTCCTATCCGACAATAAAACTGAAACTGTGTTATGAACTAATGAATGGAAACGTATTGATCCAATTTCATCCAGCATCAGTCACTAAATAATTTTGTTATATTCCCCCATTAATATGTCCTATTAATATTATTTTTGCTATATTCCCCCATTAATCTGTCCTATTAATATTATTTTTGTTAAGTACTTTAAAAAATTGTCTTGAATGTCTGAATGTTGCACCATAGGAAAAAAAATGTATATATATAATAATATATATAATATATTTTTTAAATTTCACATTTTAACATTTAATATGTAACAAGTCATGTGTTTTTATTTATTTTTTTTCGGCTGTAGTATATATTTAGCATATACTTTTTTTTAAAAACACAACAGATGCGTAGCTAATGGGGGGAGGGGGGCAGAGGGTGACAAATGTCCCTGTGCGCTGGACAAGCAAGGGGTGTCAAAATGGGCTTTAGATGTATTTTAGTGATGAAAATAATGGGTTTCAGACTTGGTGGGAAGGTGGGGGGCATGTGATGTGTATATTGTCCCCGAGCGCTATTCCCTCTAGCTACGCCTACGTAAATAAAAAAAAATAAATAAAAAAAAAATAAAGAGAAGAATGGAATTACTGATTTTTTTTTTAATATCCTTAAAAAGGCGGCGGAGGCACTGCATTCAAGTCATGTGAAGTAAATAAGTAGTGGAATAAGATATGTTAAGGCTTGAACATTTTTTTAACAATAGACAACGATTATAAAGATGTTTGTCCTGAATCAGTTGCGTTGGAAGGGGGCGGACGGTTCACCCACAGCGCTAGTTGTTTGTTTGTTTTCCCTCTATATAGGGGTGGGTGACATTTCCGGCACAAAAGACGCAACGCAAGGTATAATTTTATTTTACTATCAATTATTACTCATTATTATGAGATATTGGTAGGCTACTCTAATAGGCTAAATTCCATATAGCGTTGTTGTTTGTTTTTTTTTATTCTGACCCAGTTAAATTGAAATATTAGATCAAAAAACGGTGTGAAGCATACAAAAACAATAATATTTTTTTTAAATCGTCAACTAGACGATATTCATCATTGAGCGGAGAGATCTTATCTTGTGGTGATGCAGGAGGACATAAAATAACAAGACCAATGCGTGCCGCTGTGACATATGGAATAATAGGCCTTATAGACCTACACTAAAACAACAAAAAGTTTGCTTTAGAGCAGGCCTGCACAACATACGGCCCGCATGTGGCCCGCCAGCAACCACTTTGTGGCCCGCGAGGTAACAAAAAACTTTATTCTTTTTATTTTCTTAATAGCTTCCTCCCTGTCCTATTTTCTTTTGGCCCGCACAAGTTTTTCAGAATGTATTACGGCCCGCCTTACATTTTGAGTTGTGCAGGCCTGCTTTAGAGAACATAGCGACACACTGGTTTGCCACGAGATGATGCCAATTGTGCCTCGCAAAATTTCCCCGAGATAAGGAAAAGCAGGTAAAGTAAATTGTAGGCACGTAAAAATAATACGCGATGCTGTAGAAGGGACATTTGCTACTAGACCATTAATGTGTAGTATTACTAAGTATTGCCAGTCTTTAAAACTCTGCGATAACAGACATGTGTCCAATGTGGAGAGTTAATATAGAGAAATATAGTGCAGTGCCATTGTATACCATTTAGCACTAAGCGCCATTATGAGTGTTAACTATATAGTGTTATTGAGTATAACTTTGCATGTTCTTATTTGTAGTGTTCCACGGAGAGACCTACGTTGTGCCACGTGTGGAAAAAAAAAGATTGCTGAGCTCTACTTTGCTATTTCGGCGCGCAGAAGTAAGGACCCAGGAGAAGCAGCGGTTTATAATAAACTTAAATTAAAATGCAGCCATTGTGATTCATGCATATGGGTGGATGAATATACCTATGGTGTTGTTTTGCTTATATGTTGTTTTTATTTCATTTATGTATTTTATTTTAATATTATGATTATGCCTCTTTGCTATATATGTACAGCGCGGTGAGCCCAGCCCTAGGCCGGGGTACCGCGCTATATAAGACCACTTATTATTATTATATTATTTATATGTACAGTAGGGTATATTATTAGTCTTTGTTCAATAAATTTTTAACAGATAAGACAAGATTTTTTAATTGATCCAAATGAATGTAACATGTTTTGTTTTTTTTGTTTTTTTGTGTGTGTTTTTTTAAAATTTGAATTGTACATAATCATTTTTCATATTTTAACCAAGTCAAAATTGTACAATTAGAGCATTTTAAATACCAAGCATCTTAAGTATTTCTCTAGTGATGGTGTATAAATCAGCCATGATATACAACAACAACAATTAACACTTTTGTTAACAATATTGATTTAATTCGTGATCATTTGGTAATCACTGTGGGGAAAGGGGGGGGGGGAGGTTTGGAGCACGCTGGTAAATTCTTGCAGACTAGGGAGACAAAATAGAAAGAAGTCGCACTGATTGAGCGGATCTTCTAAGGAATCTGTGACGAAGGTGGTGTGATGTACCATCCAATTTTTTAAAAAAATAATACAGTTTTATATTGTTAACAATATTGATTTAATTCGTGATCATTTGGTAATCACTGTGGGGAAAGGGGGGGGGGAGGTTTGGAGCACGCTGGTAAATTCTTGCAGACTAGGGAGACAAAATAGAAAGAAGTCGCACTGATTGAGCTGATCTTCTTAGGTATCTGTGACGAAGGTGGTGTGATGTACCATCCAATTTTTTAAAAAAATAAATCAGTTTTATAACAGCAATTTTCTTCAAATAGTTATTAAAGTGAAGGATGTTTAGTTTGTGTGATATTACCAGCTTTCTTGATTAGTCTTTTTAATCGGTGCTTGATATTTTAATTATAATTTCCACCCATCCCTGTGGCGCTACAGTCCATGTAGGGCTTTGGCTTGCCTCATCACTTCCTTCCACTCAGACCTAACTGATGCTTTTCTTTTCCATGCTGGGATTCCCAGCTGTTGTAGATCTTTTTCCCCCATCATCCATCCCTCTATCCTAGGTTGGTATAACCACAGCCTAATATTTACCAAATCAAGTTCACTATTGTGGGAAAAAAAAATCAGATTTAAATAATCAATTTGTTAGTGAAAGCTGTTGAAGAAAATATTATTAACCGAGTTAAATAAGCCAAATATTTCAGTTTTATTTTAGAGTGCACAACAGAAACAAATATTATTCAAGTGGAGCAGCCTGCCATTTACTATCAGGTTTTTAGATGTAGAAAAAAATAGCAATAAAAGAACATTTTATTAGCTATAAGACTGCTTATAGAAAAAAAACGGTCAAGGAATATAAGAAAGTATAATTGATTTTTTGAAAGAGAGTTAACTATACTTACACAACTGCAGGGGCCAGGGCTTCGACAATAGTTCAAATATGAACGGAAAAAAATAAAGGAGTGCAGGCACGGATTATGTAGGAAAATCCCTGGGCCTTTTATGCGACGAGTATGTCATAGCCTAAACGTGGTTGGTGAAAGCGCGACAAGCTGCCTGCTGGAATCCACTTTTTTGTTTTGTTTGGTACTGTCCAGCTTATATATGTTTCACTTTCTGCCTTTCGTGGACTATGGCCAATGACGCGTATTAAAAAAAACAAAAAAAAAAAAAACAACAAAAAAAAAAACAACAAAAAAAAAAAAACACGATAACTGCTTCATTGTAAAACCTTAATGCGAGACTATAATATGAGAGGGCAGAATTGATTTAAATATGAAATTAGGGAATTCGAGAAGCTCTTTATGAACGCTCAGTATTATCTGCGTCTGGTCGTGTAGTGTGACATGAAGCAGAAAAAACCTTTATCACAAATAGAAGATTATGTTTTTTTTTTAAAATGATGATACATGTCTTGTATGATATCTGAGGTAGGGTAAATGTTGTCAGCAAAACTATGCAGGACGTCTCTGTGGAACTATCTACTGCAGTTTCACGAATGAATAGTGTCATTGATTTAGTGTCATTGATTATTGAATTGATTATCTAAGCAAATGTGTTTTGGAAATGCACTAAGAGTCAGAAAGAAAATAGCTACAGATCACATGTTTTTAGACTTCGTAACAGAAAGAGCGACATTTCAACTTTTTGCTGACCATTTCTCCTTTAATTTGGAAGGTGCACCCCGCCCCCCCCCCTAAAAAAATGCGCTTCAAATGGAGATAATTGATCTTCAGTGCAATTCTAAGTTCAGGGAGGTGAGTGGAAAAACAGACAAGCATGGATAATTTATGAGAGGATTGCCCTTCCCTTCCCTGAGAAAAGCTCTTTTCCACTATGAACTTTAACAAGTCAAAGTTACAGGGCCAAACTAACTGATAAGCATCTTCAAGCTATACTGAGGGTTTCAGTTGCTTCCTCACTCAAGCCAAATGTTGCTCAGCTGTGTCAGAAGAAGCGCTGCCAGATCTCTGGCAACAATGAGTAGGAGGAACAAAGTGAAGCCTAGTTCTTAAGAACCCTTAATATTTTTTTTATTAATAAAGGTTCAGCAGATTGTAACAGTTGTATTTTATTGACTTTGTAATCACTTTTTTGTGTGGAATACTTGATGCGGCCAAATCTCACTCATACTCTACCTCCTACGGCCCCCGGATAATTTGAGTTTGAGACCCCTGGTATAGAGTGTGTAAAAAAAAACAACCCACCACCATTCAAAATTGCATTGCATGCATTGTGAAGTAGGATGGGGGGTACTGCTATACCGGGTACTTGATATAATATTATCATATCTCAATTG